TAACAAACGCTATAATTCTCAACGAACGTCTCACGTGCTCGACTCAACAATACTCAGTTCAATTACACATTACCTTACGTTGTTTCTTGGCCGGTCTTATATATACAAGACTACCCTAATCTAGTAGTCTTCCGACATTTCATGAAGTTTCGAGAAGGAAGTGGCGTGATACAAGCGTCACGTGACTTGCGTTGTCGTAACAGTATATTTAACTATAATTTGTTCTCAATAGTTTTCACACGTTTGCTAAACAAAACTGTGTATTATGGCAGTTAAAAGGTATTCTATGGCATTTTTAAAAACCTTTTTATGCGTACACGTCGTTTATATGACGTCCCTATAAGACTTGCCACGCTAAAATCCGTGTTTCGATCCTCTCAGTGGACACAGCAGATAGTTTAATGTGGCTTTGCTCTAAGACAAATAAACATTAATGTGATAAGTTAAGTTCTCTTGATAATAAAAAGCTTAGTTTAAAGTTATGAAATAAAGTTACAAGAATGGTGAGAACAATCTCACGCAAAGAAAAAATATTGTTTATTATTCGGCAAGTTCCGAAATACGTGGAAAATATATTTTCAAATACATATACAGAAACAGTTAGTAATTGCGCAGAATATTTTTCATCCACTATCAAACAGTGACCCAGATGGTTAGAGTGTTATTTATAATTATTGTAATGGATTTCAAGACAATACATAACGGTTTGTATTGTTTTTTATTAACTTCCAAAAATAATAATGAAAAGTCCTTTCCACATAACAATAACAAAATCGTTTTATTTCTCCAACTTCGAGCTTTACAAGTTCCATGTTTTTAGTACAATGTAACCTTTAGAAGGTTCGTCGAGCATTACACCTAACCTAATAATTCCTTTTGCTGATATTCTCTTGTACATACGTCACTTTCTCGTGTCTCTAGTACTTTGTCGCAAACACAAAGTAAAAGTTTACAGAAATTATATAAATAACTTCTTCATTGCCCATTCAAGCCGTCTCCAATCATTATTAATTTGAAATTTAATTACAGTACTGGACTCAGGTGATCAAACCCTTTCGATTGATGGGTCTCATAGATTAATTTACTCTATTTTTCCCTAAAAGAATTTCAATTTGAGGGGAAGTTGGTAGAGATCCTGATGAGTAATAAACTCATAGATTAATTTACTCTAATCCTACTTAAAAGGATTTTAAGTGCTGTGGCTATTGAGGGTTCCCTCTTGTTTCTGATGAGTAATAAACTCGAATGGGATGTACGCACACCCCACGCTTGGTATTGCTGGCGCACAAAAATTTTGCTAATAAAGAGGAAAAAATGGTCTCATAGATTAATTTACTCTAATCCTACCTAAAAGGATTTTAAGTGCTGTGGCTATTGAGGGTTCCCTCTTGTTTCTTTAATCATACACTCAACATTTCGCTTTGCAGCTTCTTCAGGAGCGTTTCACTAAACACAAACGGTAACTGACAATACAAAGCTTCAGTTGGTTTAAATATTAAATTATAATCGATTCCTTTTTGTTTGTTGACTGTTTCTTAATATCCATTCAAAACCAGCAATAAAGTCATTCTTGTAAATTCATGTTTTCATCAACCTCCAAAAACTGTTAGCTATCCTTACATAGCATTTGAAAAAAAAAACTGTACAGGCGATGTGTTTTTAATCAATAATTATAGTGATACTAATTTTTACCATCGAAAACAATAAACAAAAAATAAAAGTCTTAGAAACAATATTGGTGATGATGCAAACATAAGCTTTGTCAGTAAGTTTAAACCTATTATTCAGATTGCATGCGGTTTTACTTTATTAATCAAGCAGATGTAAACTGAACTGAACTTGTTACCAAGCAAAAATAGACTAACCAGTTTTCTACAACAAACTCCAATTTTTGTGGTAATATGTGTGTGATGTTACATGAACTTACATCACAGTAAAACAGTCAGGTCATTCACTACTGGTCCACTACATGTTTCCAGTAGACACTATGTAAAATACCACTTCAACTGCATGTATAATTTGTGGCCTTATCTTTTGTATGCCCTTTGTCAACAAGGCCTTTTGCTCACTATCAGAGCTCATTTGGCTATCTGGGTTGCAACATACAAAATCTTAGATGAAGTGCTATTTAAATCAGTAAGTTTTAGGGTGAGAATGCTTTAGCTAGCGAAGAAATACAAAGGTAGTAATATGCATGTGATATTACATTAAAGTAAGAAGAATAATGATTTTAATCACACCATTTTTTCTGGCCTGATATGGGTATCCAGTAAAGAAATTGAATAATAATAATTCAACTAGGACTTGTCTGTTGTATACTACTGCCACTGAAACTACTTGCTTAATACCAGAGGTCACCGAGCTGGCTGTGTTACAACATAGTCATAATTGAAAAGCTACTTATATGAGAAATTCCTTATGGTGTGACATTATTATGTACTAATTACTACACACATGTAATATTCAACAAGTTAAACACCTTAAATTTATATTAAGTTCATATTTTAACAGAAATTAACTACACAATTTACATATGTCACAATAATAACACAGAAAGAGCATAATTTTGTTATTTTTATACTTACGCACTTAAAATAAACTGGTACTCATCTTATCTGGATGATAAAAAAATCAGCCAACATAGAACTGCCTTTACCTGTTGTTTCTACTACGTATGAACTGTCATGTTGGAAAGTTATCTTTTGAATGTGATTTTAACAGGTTATTAAAACTGTTTCAAATTATTGTATCTTGAAGTTATTAGTTAAGAATATAATTATGTTTACACTGATGGCAAAACCCTTACTAGTTTGAGATATAAAATACATACATATAAGCTAGTGTATATTAGACTTTATACTTTTGCATTTCTAAAACCTATTTTTCCCCTATTAATCTGGATGTTTCCTAACATATAAAGATCATAAACAAAACCCAGGTGATCTCTCTGAAAAACAAAGAAAAATTTTAATGACTTCTCATCAAAGGTAAGCTACCTATACAGAACAGAAAATCTGTTAGATCAATGAAACCAATTCTATATGATAAACTGACTGGATGTACATAACATCATAAATTAGTTAGAACAGAGCAACTTAC